GTCATACTCTCTCAACTTTTTTGTAGGCTGGCTATCCCAAAGATCTAGGTGGATATGACCACACCCCAAAGTACAGTCATTTAATCTCTTTCAACATAGAAATCCCAATCCTGTATTTGTGTGGTTAAGATTTGCTAACACATCACTGAGGTTGCACAAGGTCATAAAACATGGCTACTGTAGAACTCAGTGGTCAGTAGAGGTTCACTGATTGTACTTATTGTTTGTACTTAATAATTGCTTAAGAGGTAAGAAACTCACGGTGAGTCTCCAGGTTTTTCTTCCATGCCTAATGGAAAAGGATTCCATTTTCATGTTAAAATCTCAGAATAGTTTCTGTCAATAAAAACAGCAGCTTGTCTTTCTTCTGCAACAGCTCAATATAGATGCTAACAGTTTCCAAACCTTAACTGTATGAACAACTTGGTTTTGACAGGCAATAACAAAGCAAATTCAATAACTGTTATTTTCACTTGAGCCTGGGCTATGGGCAAATCAGACCAAAATGAATTCAAAGTTTAGTGTGCACCAGGCACTGTCCTCATATTCTGATTTAGGCAATTTGGGGGTGGTGTTCAGAAGTCATCATTAAACAAGCACCAGGTGGGTGAAATATGGATCTTAATAATCAATAATAATAAAGGAGGGTTCTTGTTTTAGGTGGCTTTCCTTCAGGTTTTTCTCTACTTGACAGTTTGTCTATAATGAATATACCTGGTTTATTTCTTAATTTAGTTTACTAAGGTTTATAAGATACTTCTCAGTTCACTATGACTTAACTAGGCAAATACCTCTTCCTTATTCTCTCCTTCACCTCTAATCCCACTCTCTGTAACTGATGCCAACTCTCCCTAACACTGACCATTTTTCCTAGCGCTGGCTCTGCTCATGGGGCTTTAGAGATATGAGCTAAGGTGAGCTGCACAACTCTATGAGGTGGGCTTGTCGCTGTGATCATTTTACAGCAGAGAAACCTGAGGAAGGTTAAGTCACTTTCTCAAGATCACGCAGCTAGTAAGCGGTCCAGTGCCGGAATTCTGAATTCTTATGCTCTGTATACGTACACGATCTCTGTAATGCTGCCCAGGTGCTCTCTGGCACTGTCTCACCAGTTTCATATGTTTAATGAGTCAGCTCTTCCATGATTTACTTTGAAATTCTCTACTAATTGAGGTTGAACATCTTTTCATAGATTAGCCACATAGGCTTCCTTCTATAAGCTGCTTATTCATACCCTTTAGCACATTTCTCTATTGAATACATCTTCTTATTAATTTGCAAAAAAAATCCAGTCCATGTATATTCTTGATATGAATCCTTTGTTTTATAAACTCCAAATATTTTCTGACAATCTATTACCTTATTTGCAGCTAATATGACAATGGAATCATACTAGACCAACTATTAGAATTAGATAAGGGATTTCAATAGGGTTGCTGGATGTTAAGTGTCAACATAAAAGTAGCATTCCTATAGACAAATAACTCATAGCAGAAACAAAAACTAGTTTACCTAGGAATAAACTAATAAAAGATGTATGAAACTAGCAGGAAGAAAACTGTGAAACTTTATTGAGGGACATTAAAAACCCTAAATAAAACATATAGACAGTTCATATTCATAGATGAGACGAGTACGCTTTTCAAATTAATTCTCAAATTAATCTACAAATTCACATCAAGTCCAATAAAAATATTAAGTGTTTTCACTGAACCTGACACACGGATTATAGAATTCACAGGGAGGATGAAAATGTCACGAAGAGCTAAGGCAAATTTGAAGAACAATGCAATTACCTTATCAGACATCAAGACTTACACAGCTATCCAGGGATGGAGACAATGTGGTACTGGCTCAGGGACCAACCACTAACGAAACACAGGAGGGAACCCAGAAACTTAGCATGCGTACACGGAGAACGAGGTGCTGTGTGAGGTAAGGACAGGCTGACCCTGTAAGAGAATAGTCACTCTCTTTTGGTTCTAGCACAGTGTAAGTGAAAAATTTCAAAGGCCATTGAAAAAGTGAGAAAACAGTTGAAAATTGGGTTATAGTTTGCCCAAACACTGGGCATTCAGTCCCGTTTGGAGGTTTCCCAAGCTTCTTAGAAGCAAACTCATGGAATTCTAAGAAAGGGCAGAGCAAACGCCCCAGTTGGTAACTTACAGGAGACTCAACACATGTATTTCGGTACTTCTTCCAATTTAGGCTCCCTAGGTTGGATGGCAGATTCTGTTTTCAGAAATGGTGAGGAGAGAAAGTGTCATGGTTTGGAATTTATGAAATACAGTATTAGCAAAGAGGGCCTTTATGGAGACTGCTCATATCACACACTTGGAGTGGGGAGATATGTTGGAAATATTATACCCTTGACCTCTTTTCCCCAAGGCCCCATCTGTCAGCATGCCGCACATCCTTGCTCTTGGATAGAGAAGAGCACCTGAAGTTTACCCAGACAGAAGCTTCCCTGTACCAACAAAATTCTTGTCAACTATTCTAGAAAGAGTGGGGGGAAAAAATCAACTTAAAGCATTTCTTTAAAAGTTAATGATAAAAATGTAACTATGCAAACAAATTATCCCCACACAATCTATATTTTTAAGTAATTTATTCCAATAGAAATATTTCAGAAAACTGTATTTAAATTCATTTTAAGTTAGTTTATGCAAACACACTTAAGATCTCACACTCACATTTGCATATTAAACAGAAATCAAAGGTGAGAGAGGAAACACGCTGCACGTCACTCCAGGAGGTCATAGTGCAAACGAGTACTTCATCTTTAGTACCTCAATTTAACCGGGATGAAGGAGAGTAAAAATGGCTTGTGTTTTCCTGTATATTATCATTATTGGATATTCATCCCCACAGATGCCTTTGTCTCCTTTAGATTACACTGTGAATGAGTTCCCCACCCCCTCCCCACACGTACATACTTCGGTCAGCTGTAAAACAATGGATTTGTCAATAATCAAGGTATAGAAACTCTTGAGTCTGGTGACTTATTATCAGCTACTCTGTCAGATTTAGTAAGTCAATAATTATTGGACTATCTTCTGTGAATAGTTTTAATAGGTGATATCTTCATGGGAAAATTGATACTTGTTACCTGGTATCTAAAGCATAGCTAATTATGAAACTTTCTACTTGTCTATTTAAAAAAAAAAAGCTCAATCCCTAAGCATTCTAATTATGTATTCCTTTAATCCCATCACCACTTTGCAGTCCAAATGACTAGAATCAAACTTTAAATCCTACTAATAACCTTCAAGGACCAGTTATCCCTTCATTTGGCTTTAAAGACTAAATTTACTTGTCGAGAACATACTAGCCCTTTCCAAAATGTGAAGACAGCATTTTGACTCAGTTGAACAGTATTTCCAGATCTTACAATAATCTCAGAGAAGCAAAATGTTTCCATACTTTGTTTTTACTGAGAAAGCTAGCTTAGCCTCTTAACTTCTCTTTAATTTATACCTTGTAGTTGTTTTCACTTTCTGGACATAGTATCTTCAAGTAAACAACAACTGGTAGGTGAAGTGACTGCTTGTTGTTCTGAGTCCTGTTAAGTGTAAGAATGTACTGAACTAAATCTCACTTCTGGGCAAAGGAACTCTCATTTCAGGATTTTAGCAGCTTTTATAGAACCCAAACAAATCTTTCTGGCTGTACTGTATTCTTTTAAGGATTTTCTGAAAGGACTTATAATTAAATCTATGCTCAAAACAATTTCAACAACACAAAATAAAAATAAACTCAGCTGGATGGATGTTCTTCAAAGTTGCTCTTAGGCAATGTTTCATCTAGAGGCTGATTTGGAGGGTTTATTTTTAATCTTCTACCCTGGAAGGAGAAGGAGCAGGGAAGGAGCTTGTCTGAAAAGACTCAAAGCCAAGGAGGAATGCGACAATAACCTAGAGTGATCTGCACGCATTTTCTTAGACTTGCTATGAGCAAGAGGAAGCTGGTGGAGAGAGGAATAGCACACACTCCTGAAATAAGAGAAGTAAGAGGACAAATGATTATTGTCACACTCGATGCCCTAAAGTTGGTCTTCAAATTGATAAGGCACTGACCAAATTTTCCCCACACTACAACTAGAGAAACCAGTGTAATGAAATAGCTTTCAAAAAGCTTAAAAGTTCGCTCAAACAGATCTCTTTTGTTAGAATCCTCTAAATAGGGGGGGAAAAAAACCAGTCACCTTAGACACAAGCCATTTTTAAGGAAGCAAAACCAAAAGATGCTGACTTCACACAGAAAATTATTATCATCAATGTGTTAAATAACAATGTTTGTTATAAGAAAACAGAATACTACTCTGGCTGTAAAATTATAAATTTACTATGTTTGAGAGAAATAATATAAAAGAAGAGAGACAGAAAATAAAAGCAAACCCTAAAAGACCACTGAAGAAGTCAGACAGATCTCACCACTTGCTTTGTATCACATGCACCAGCAGTACTATTGTTCCACCAGGACACAGTCAAATTCATTTTCAAAAAGGGATCCAATTATTTCAAAAGTCTTTGAGGCGGATGATTTTTTAAAAAACTGATATTATCCTCTGTTAACAATACTGGTACCTCTTGTTTGCAAAAAAAAAAAAAAAAAAAGAAAATATGGTGGTTTAAAGGAACACTGAAAAGGACCATGTCTCAGAAAACAGGAAGGAAATCAAGAGGGGATAGTTAATGGGTTAAATCTACTATTATTGATTTTTAAACTAATATCAAGTCCTGTAGTTTTGTTTTTAGCAGTAAAGTCATCTATAACTAAAGATTTAACCTAAAAAAAAAAAAAGAGAGACTTCTGCTCAAATCATTTGGCCAAGTGAATTCTAGTAATCCTAAGAGAGCAATAGGCCAGGCTGCTCTTGGCGGGCCCTGGTTTCAACTAACATACAAGGTGTATACACTAGAGACTGTAAACATTTTTCCCTTCTGTAACAGTGCACATTGGGCTCCTTTATAAACCTTCTATAAGAGGAATAAAGCCACTTACAGAAACTCTGCAGCTACAAACACCCTAAGTTCTTGACATACAGAAAGATACAATACCAAAACAGTCCATACAGAAGGTAGCACAACAGTCATATGGCATTTTCCGCACAGGAAAACATTTATCACTGAAGCATATGCCTGGGGAGGAAAAAAATACTCAGACTCAAATTGTTTGGATCCCTTTTCATAATGTTTACACAAATAATATTTACACAGTGAAGAAAATGTAATAGGAAGGTGTGTTTGATTGGTTCTTTTAATTTTTACAGTTTGGAGGTTATGGTAAAAGTAATGTCTCTGAAAAAAATAAGCAGAACTCACACACAGAGGGGGCATGAGACCAAAATCAGAGCTCCTCAAGGTCATCATACAGTTATTTTTATAGTTGCATTTTAAAAACTGTTAGAGGTTACTTTTGCATGAAAAATAAGCTTCCATGTTCAAACAAACTGTTAAATGAGATGTGCCTCAAATTGTATTTTGGTTGGTATTATACTGCTGCACCAGGCTGGATAATATACCAATCATTATGCTTATCAAAAACTAGCTTAAATTTAAATTATAATGGAATTTCCAATGAGTTTTTCTTGACTCAGAGAGAAAAAAATGGGCTTAATATTGGTGAAAATTTCAAGCTTGTGAAGTGCTAGTTTAGAAATTTATTAAGGGTAGGCCTAGTAAGAGGAGAAAAATTTCATCTTCTCACTAACACAATGCCTAAATATTTAATATTGTAGTATTTATTTTTGCCTGAATTATTATTAGGTCTCATTTGGTGAATTAAAGGTCAAAAATTCACCCACACTATTTTAATTCACTTCTCCCACTGGTCTTCTCTTTGCTCCAAATGCTAAAGTAGCCTTAAAAAGCAATAAGCAAGCTCTTGAATGGACAAATCTGGAGACAAGAAAACAATGGTGACCTCCGCTGCACCGTTCAGAGTTTCAGTCAGTCAGAGGCCACAAATCTATGTGTGGTCTAGTCACCAAATCTGAACCCTGTTCTCTGCACAAGCAGCCTTGTGTTTAGGGCTGAAAATATCAAACGTCTTCCAGTTGAGCTCTCTCTTTGGCAAAACTGTGTGCTGTCAGGCTCTTGACTTCCAACTGTCCATCTTCAGCAATACGGTTAGCCTACCACTTAATCTACTTTAGCTTATTTATGACAAACAGACAAGGTAATAAAAAATCCACAGGGTTCTCATCCACAATGTGTTTTAAAAAGCACATACACTGTTAAAAACACTTATTTCTGAAAAGAAATAAACAAGTTAAGAAAATTAAAACAAAAGTCAGATGTGCAAGGTCTCAGAGATAATACTGCTACGCTGGTTATGCAGAGGGGGTCTTCTCCGCGCCCAGCATGGGCTATGCTGGAAGGTCTCAGCCACATCCCTGCCCTCTCCAGCTCATGTCATTTTCCACAAAACCAGAAATAATGGTATTTCTAACTGTACTATGTGAGAAAAATATTTGAACTCTTAATATCCTTTTCAAACAGAAAACAAAATTTACAAATTTAGTAATCTGAGAAAGCTCTTCTACTTTCCAAATGGATATACTTTTAATTATTCTAACAAGCAATATTTTCTATGTGAGTTTCATGGATTCAAGGATGAAATACTTATGATTAAAAAGGAAAAGGAATAAAATTCCCCTAGAATACAATCTGAAAATTTTTATGTGAGGCCCAAAGTAATAGAAATCTATTAGAAGTTATCAGTCAAAAAGCACTTCTTACTCTGGGCCACAGGCGAAATTCATGCTGCCTCATGAGTTTATAACATCCAACACACAGCCTTTGTTCAGGTGCCCTTTTTTTCTTCTTTTTGGTTAAAACTCAAAGGTATTTCACCTCCAAACTTTTTTTTCCTCCTTTTTTTAAACTCAACATTTATTTTGGAAGTTAAATGCATTATTGCATAAAAGAGCTCTCACAAAACTCTCTTGATAAACTGTTAACAAAATATGTTTTCACGGTAAGGACCTATAGTAAATTTTGAAAAAAATGTTTGTGATAAAGGAAAGTTAAGTAGGAAGGAAAGTTTTGATACTCAAAATTTCCAGCCTCTCAATCTTTCACCTTTTTCCCTTTGAAAATTATTCTGTATCCCTTATAATAAAATACATACATGCATACAAACACATGTAGATTCTCTTTTAAACAAATGTGATCCTGAATCTCATACTGAACAAAAATAATGAAAATAATAAAAAAATAACTGGCATTGTGCACATTAAACACTGTAAAAGAAAATATCCTAATAAAATATTGATACATCACCCTTGATGATAAAAATCACCTGTGAGTGACAGAAGGGATAATCCACTTAAATTTGAAAACTGTAGTTATTGTAAAATCTTCTTAGAAAAGTTTAGGTTGGGATTACAGTTCTCTACCAAGCAGATCTGTGGTCCAACAATGAATTCATATAGAAGGCCAAACTTTAAACCCAGTTAAAAACAACCATGTTTTCTGGAGCCCACTTGAAAAAAGTATCTGGCATGTGAACACTCAGCCTTTATACCTCCAGCAGGAAATAATGTACCCCATACAGTACTAAATTTCAGAAGTTTAGTGTTTAAAAAAAAAAAAACTCCCCTATCCAAAACAAAACAACCCCCCACCCCAGTCCCAAACAAACCCCAACAACTCACATTATTAACATTTCTAATTCCTACACTCTTGCTGTGGGAAAGCACGTTGAGGCTGCTGACTCATGGAGGCTTAAGCAAACCTTTTGGCGAGATGGCTGGTAGAACCCTACTAAGCTGAAACATCTTCACACTTCAGTTCAAAACCAGCTCCAGATGTCACCCATAAGAAATATGTTTTTCCTTTTAAAGTGTATCTAAAAAAAGGCGATTCCCCCCTCCAAAATTAGTACAAAGTTAAAAGAAATGCAAATTAGCTACGATCTATTCCAAGCACAGCACCGCCAGGAGATTCACACGCACTATTTGGTGTTTCATGGTGGTTTTCCTTTCATTCTATTAAGGCAGTGGTTTCCACAGGTCAGTTCAGAGATAAGAAGCATGGTCCACGGCAGTTTGTTTTACAGCTCTGATGTGTTCTCTGGGAATATCTCACTTCGTTCCCTGAAATTAGTGCTTTTTTGGTTCAGGACTCCAGAGGCTGAGACGGAGCCTCTGGGCTCTGCCTGGCACAGGATTGGTTTGCAGCTGGCACTCTTTCATCAGGTCCTCGCTTTCACTTAGGGTAACAATTCACCTTGTTCTTTATGACGTTTTTACTCAAAAGTCATCAAGTTTGTAGGAACCTAAAAAATATAAGCATTACAAACTGATAGTATTTGAAAGGTGTTCTTCAACGTACTATTTATCTTGTCATTTTAAGTAAGTCCATAGCAATGTGATAGGAGGTACTGTAATTGTTTATGAATAATGGATAAAATACACTAGAACATTTTTGAGAGAAAAACCACTGAGATAAGTTAATACCCTTTCCAGTAAATTGAAATCTGGATGGCAAAATGGGCAGAGACAGTACCTTTCTTGTCTAACCCAGGGGAGCTCAGTAGATATTTGCTGAGTGAAGAAATGAATGAATGAGGAAAGAGTAAGTATGGCTCTTACTCACAGGTGTGAGATTCCAGACACACCTGTCATCATTTATTTTCTCATTATATGTATTACAATGAATTCCTACATACAAATTTTAAAATCAGCATAATTTTGTAACAGACATTACTAAGAATTTCTTTGTGAAATCATCATGAAATGAGTATAAAAGAATAAAACTCATTGCTAGATAAATTCTAATCTGACACTTTGTGACTCTGAAAAATCTATAGGTTATATAACAGTTGGCTGCTAACAGACTGGATCAAATTTAATTCCATTTAAGTCTAAAATTCAACAATAATTCTTAGAAAAATAGATGTATTTTGTTTTTAAAGATTAGTTGATGGGTCGTCTAGTTAAGGACTAAAGAGGGTTCTGACATGTTAAAAAAATGCTCTTAACTTTTACTACCAGTTTTCCAAAGCTGTGCTGGTAGAGATATTCATGTATCAGCAGTCATTGCTGTGTTCTTTAAAGAGAGTTAACAGTTCTCTCTTTTTTTAGTTGTGGCATGCAGACTCTTAGCTGAGGCATATGGGATCTGGTTCCCTGCCTAGGGTTCGAACCCAGGTCCCCTGCACTGGGATCATGGGGGTCTTAACCACTGGCCCACCAGGGAAGTTAAAAAGAGCTTAACAGTTCTTTAACAACCTTTTCCTGAGAATCTATGACACTAAAAAAAAGATTAATTTCTTACACATGTCAGCTTCTGAATGAAAAATTATTTGACAATGTAATCATAAGTGAATTATAAATAAAACATAGTATGAATGGATGAGTACTTAAAGTATAAATTCTTGGGTCTGGTTATAAGAAATCCATATTTAAATAAGGTAAAATTTTCATTTCCTCCTAAGTTGCCTGACTATGGTTTACGATGTTGTATTTGAGTTACAGTCTTCTACTAAAAGTTTTCAAATTTCATGGCTTCAATTTATAAATTTGCTACTTCTCTCATTCTTCTATATATAGAAACAAACAAACTGAAAAAACAAAACAAAACAATTTATACACATCTGCTTAACTTTTTCAGCAGGAAGATCCACTAATACAGTAAAAGAAACTGAATCCTATGCTGGTATGCGTACACTCTCTTGATTAATCTTAAAATCTGAGATAAAAAAATGATACAATACTTTAAGGCCACATTTAAAGAAAATGTATGCATGCAACTGAATCCTGAAAAACCTGGTTTACGCAAAAGAAGGTCTGTTTCCTTCATTCTATCCCAGAAACTAATTTGACAAGGGCAAGGATGTAATTTTTGCTTTATTATTTTTAAAATAAAAATGATAAGAGAACAAAGCCCATTCCAACAATATTTAAGAAGAATGCATCTACAGAATGAAGACAGACTTTGTGTCTTAGGTCCACCATTTTTTAATTTTGTTTGTTTTACTTTTTTTATTTGTTTGACCCTGTCGAGGTCATTTATTAGCATTTTTGAACCTTAGTTTCTTCCTATACCAAAAAAGCGGTTACAACTTAGGTCCTGATAGCACATGGTAAAAACACATTTATAAGCTTTATAAACTTCTACAATGTATTATATAATTCAGAATCAGCTACTGATAATATTTACCATATACTTCTGTATTTCAGTACCTACAGGCAATAAGCTTTTCAAATATATTCAACTAAAAACTAGCCAAAAAGAGTGTAGAAACTTTTGTAACTCCAGCTATATTTATGTCTGCCCTACCAATTCATGGTTCCACTTTAAATCAGAAGCAAGATTTGGGGAAAACACCACTATGAATTCATTCCTCTTTGCAGCCGAGTTAGACCATCATAGGCCTCTTTGAGTAAGTCCAAATCATTTTGGGTTTCACTGCAAGCATAGGAACCCACATAAAGTTGTCAACAGAACAAATAGAGATGCATCAGAATAATTTTTGTCAAGGTACCATCAAATTTTTAACCTCTGAAGCTACGTTTTCTTGCCTCTCATTCTTATTCTTCTGACACAGGCTACATCTCCCTATTTTGAACACTTGAAAGCTTGTTTCACCTTCAGGGTCTTTGCACTTCCCTTCCTTTCACCAGAACTCTGTTCCCCCTTATCTTCACACGGCCCCTCCTTCCTGTCATTCACTTCACTGTCATCTCCTTAGGGAGACTTCTGCTGTTCGCTCTTAATTTATTTAAAGTTGACTCTACTCCCATCACTCTGTATCACCTAATTCTATTTTGCTGCCTTCAGAGTTTTTACTTTTTGAAATGCTGTTATTTGTTCACTTGTTTATTGCCCATCTCCCTCATTAAAATGTGAACCTCATGTCTTGCTGACTGTGGTCAATAAAAAAAGAACATAAACAATGCAGTTTTCCTACTTCATTCCAAAAATTAGTCCACGTACTTCTCTTTCCAGCTCTTTTAAATACATTCCCAGTTTATGGACTCTTCTGAGGATGAAGAGAAATGCTTACCTGTTGTTTGTTGCTTTGGCAGGCTGCACTCAAATGCTTAAACCACAGCATTGCATTCATCCTACTGCCTGCTTGAAACTTGTACGAATTTCCTAAAATTATTAAAAACAAGGGGAAAACAACAAAAATTGATGAGAGTTCTCAGTTTCAGTTTATTTCAGTTTCAGTCTCAGTTTCTCTCTCTCTCACCTGATTCTCCAATACAGAGTTCCATATGCTACATTCACAAGCTGTAATTTATTCAGAAAGTCACTGCTTTGCTATTCATGAATTGGAAGAGAAGTATTTTGTTTTCTTACATGATCTTTAAAGTATACCTAAATAAAACAATTGTTTGGCTTCTCTAAATTTGTATGAGAGTACAGAATATCAGTTCTCAGCACTATTTAGATGATCTAAATACTAATAGATGCTAAGACTAAATTTTTATAGGCCAAAATGTTCTAAAATGTTTAACACTTAAACATAAGCTATTTAATGGGATTAAGGATTAATCAGCTAACATCAATATAACCTATGCTTTTAGTTTTTACTTACATTTGTCAAAATTATTAGAGAAGTTCCTAGGTCTAGTAAGGGGTTATGTGAAAAATCTGAGAAAGCACCTTTTTCTCTTTTAGAAACTTAGAAATTCATTTGTTTTATTTGTGATGTATGTATTTAGATCTTGAAAGTGAAAGTGTTAGTCATTCAGTCTCATCCTATTCTGTGACCCCATGGACTGTAGCCTGCCAGGCTCCTCTGTCCATGGAATTCTCCAGGCAAGAATACTGGAGTGGGTTGCTATTCCCTTTCTCCAGAGGATCTTCCTGATCCAGGGATCAAACCTGGGTCTCCTGCATTGGTAGGCAGATTCTTTACCATCTGAGTTACTAGGAAAGACCATTTAGACCTTACGTTGACTAATTAAAAGCTGACACACAATAAGAGTATTTTTATACATTTATATGTATTAAGGTAATAAACTGAGAAAAGAAGGGATTCATGTAGCATAGGCTGCCCTAAGCTGAGCTTAGTTCTCCTTCTCACGGACCTGAGGTCTTCTTATTTCCCAGTTCTTACTGACTTCTACTCTTTCCTTAATAACTGCATCCAATGATTCAAGAGCCTTATCTGATCTATATATAGGCTTTATACAGCTCTTCTTTGAGATTTTAACAATCAAAGACTTACTCATTTTCAGAAGCAAAAGTTCTCTTCACCATATGTTTAATTATTCAAATAACATTTTCTGCTTGTTGAACCCAGATCAAACATCAGATCAACCTAAATAGCAGGCATAATCTGACAAGCTGGCCATAGCGGCCATTCATCTACCCTTCTTCCTGAAAAACGCTGTCAGTATAGATTTCATAAAAACCTTGTACTCAGAAGTAGTTCTATCAAGTACACTAAGGAATCAATGGTTGCCCTGGAGAAGGAAATGGCAGCCCACTCCACTATTCTTGCTGGAGAATTCCACGGACAGAGGAGCCTGGCAGGCTATAGTCTGCGGGGTTGCAGAGAGTCCGGACATGACCGAGTGACTAATACACACAAGGAATCAAAGGAAAACAAAGAATTTGTTAACTGAATCCTATGAAAATTATCTCCTTTTAAAATGTACTTTTATAAATAATGAATGTCTTTGGGATTGGCAGGGTGGAGGCTGAATTCAGAATGTTAAGTAGAAACTCCTTACTCTGTAAATCAGTCTATTTCACCTCAAAATGTGACATCTTGCTATTATTTTTTCTGCATGTTTTCTTAAATTTTTACTCTAAATACCACAGTATCTTAAAAGCAGAATATCTGTTGATATACATTCTAAAGAAACAGAAGTCAAGAATATAACTTTACAGTCAATAAATGGTAATATAATATCATTTTAGTAGTGAGCTGCTGAAGTAGAAGGTTCTGGGCAGATACGAAATGATTTCCTTTCTGGCTTCCTCTGTGGTGCTCATCAACGGCTGGCAGATGTTATAAAGCAAGAGCTACAATCATGTGAGGATCTGTTCTGATGACCACTGAGGTCCCCACGACACATACAAGCAGGATAAGGAGACACATGACCTGATTCTACACGGCCCACCCTCCAACCTCTCTCATCCATTCTAAAAACTCTCGTGGTTAACAGCCAATAATGTTACTCATAAATGTCTCTACATATTATAAGCAAAGCATTATAATTAAAATTGTACTTATCTGGAAAGTGGTTTGGGTCAAATAACCAATTAATTTAATTAAAAATAATGGAACACAAACCACTTAAAGGAAAACTTTTGCCACATTCAGAACTTAACAATAACAATTTATTTCAAGATATAAATGAAGGGGTATTGCATATTGCAAATCTGAGATTTTAAAGTAACAGTGGTTTATAGATTCTCAAATTCCCACTTCCTTTCTTGATTGTTAGCTCTTCAAGCTTATGCCCATGTAGCAAAGAAAATAAGCTTATTAAAGAAGCAATTAATAGATACTGATATCTAAAAATATTGGCATAATTAATATACATCACATGACAGAAATATTTCCCAAGAGGTGAAACAATATAAGCAATGCCCCCAGTTGAGTATTCCAGTTAAACTAAAATTTGGCTTATCTAAAGTTGTATAGTAACCACTAGTTATTTCAATGATTCACCTTTCTCAGAGTCAGTCAGCAAGAAGAGATCTGGATGTTCTGGGTCATCAGCCATCATCACCATCCATCCTACTACAGACACATTCTTATTTGATGTTGATTTAAACTGAGAGATAAAAAAAATAATAAAAAAAACACAAAATTTGTGGCTTATCCTAAGTAAAAACTTAACTGTTAAAAAGTGTATTTTCAGTTTCTCCTAGGGAGAGACAAGATTTCATGCTGGTTAGTTAGCTCTGCTCCTGGCCTCTTACTACGAAATTCCAGGTAGGCATGCCCTCTTCAGATAGCCTCCTACTTTCCAGGTCTTTCCCAGCTTCAACTCTTTATCGGAAGTTTAACTGTCCGGCTTCCCTGGTGGCTCAGTGGTAAAGAGTCCACCTGTCGATGCAGGAGACACAGGTTCGATCCCTGATTCAGGAAGATTCCACATGCCGTAGAGCAACCGAGCCCATGTGCTCTACTACTGAGCCTGTACTCTGGAGCCACAACTCAAATATGATCAACTCAGTTGATGTGAAATAAAAGCATTTGTTAAAATATAATGCATAGTTGTGGTAGACTTGGAATGGAATTTATTTTTTTGTTTGTTTGGTAGGTATTGTTATTGAATTAGAAAATTCCCTTCCAAGGAATTCAACAGTACCTACCAAACAAACAAACAAAAAAACCAAACGACACCCCACCTCCACCCCGCCGACTGAAAAAAAAAAAACAAACCAAAAAACCTAAACAAAGTATACAGGAAAGAAAAACACAAAATAAAATAAAACCCAAACTAAAATTCTGCAATGCATGCTCAAGGGTAAAATGCTAAAAACATTTCAAAATCAAGTTTCAAGACAAGGATGCCCACCATTGTTACTTCCATCCAATGCTGAATTGGAAGACCTAGTCAGCATAATAAGATAACAAAAAAAGAAATAAAAGGTATAAGCATGAGGAAGAAATAAAACTGCCATTACTCGCAGATAGTAATTATCCATTCAGAAAATCCACCAAATTAATAAGAAAAATGAGCAAGGATGCTTGGGAAAGATCACTATAAAAGTCATCTGCAATTTTATACACTAGAACTATAAAAGTCACTTCTAAGAAAGGTACCTAGAAATATATGTAACAAAAGACATACAGGAAAGTATAACAGTCAAAAGACACTCAAGAAGACCTAAATCAACAGAGAAATACCATGAGATGAAGAAAAAGATTCAGTGTTGTAAAGATGTCAATTCACCCTTAATTGATCTACAGATTCAGTGTCATTTCAACAAAAATTTCAGTAGGGTTTTATGTGGGAACTTAAGAAGCTGATTCTAAAATGTGTGTGTAAGACAAAGGATCAGAAGCAGCCAAGATGATCCTGAAGAATTAGGCAGGACTTGCCTTGCTACACAAGACTTACAAATCTATAGTAACTGAGACTGTGAGTTACTAGGACAAGGACAGACTGACAGGGCAATGGAAGTCTAGAAAACAATCTGTGAATACCGATGCAAACTCAAATGACAAGAATGGGCTCTGCAGACCAGCAAAGTAAGAATGGACTGTTCAACACGTGGTGCCAGGAAAATAACTTATCCAGGCAGATAAATAAAAATGAGTGCCTATTTCATAACACGTCTCACATACACCCTCCTCTGACTTCAAATGGGTCAATGATTTTAAAGCAAACTGTAAAACTTTACCAGTAGAAAATATAGAACATTTTGATGATCTCACGTTAGAGAAGGATTTAAAAAATATGACTCAGAAAGTATTAAGCATAAAAGATAAATTTTATTACTTTAAAACTGAGAACCATTCACTAAAAGATCACAAAGAGAGTGAAAAAAAAAACTGAACAAATTGGAAGAAGATATTAGTAATACATAATTGCTGATAAGTATCCAGAATATATAAGGAAATTTTTACCAATTAGTAAGAAAACAAATTATTCAATAAGCAAAATAATTATCCAGGCATTTTATAGAAGAAACACAAATAACTAGTCAACATGAAAAAATTATTTCAAACATTAATAATCTGGGGTATATACACTAAAATCACAAGTTTATGGACTTCCCTGGTGATCCAGTGGTTAAGATTCTGCACTTGCAATGTAGGGGTCATGGGTCTGATTCTTGGTCGGGGAACTAAGATCCTTATCATGGCTGATAAGGAAGGAAGAAGATGCTATCTGGGAAGACTTGGATGGTTCTGACAATGCTCTGTCTTATGTGGGGTGGAGTTATATACGTGTTTATTTTATTTATTAATTCTTTAAAATATACACATATACAATGTATCTTCTTCTGCATGTATGTATTTCACAATTTTAAAGAAATGGGAAAAAGAAGGAGCATATCACATTATTTTTAACAACATGGTTACAGCAAAAATGAAAGCTAAAGGAATTAGGAAGCTTTAATAAGATGAAGAGGGCTTCCCTGGTGGCTCAGCAGTAAAGAATCCGCCTGCCAATGCATGAGACACAGGTTCAATCCCTGGGTCAGGAAGATCCCTTGGAGAAGGAATGGCAACTCACTCCAGGATTCTTGCCTGGGAAATCTCATAGACAGAGGAGCCTGGAGGGATACAGTCTATGGGGTTGCAAAAGAGTTGGACATGATTTAGCAACAACAACACTATGAAGAATCAAATTGGCAATACATAGCTGATCTGACAGTTTATAGTTTATGTCAAGGCATACAGCATGATTTTCTAATATCTTTTCTTAGACCCCAAAACCTCTGCATCAATTGCTTTTTTCAGTAATAATAATAAAAACTCAAGCAATATAAGCCCATTCACAGAGTCCAAATGCCCTCGACCACCAGCTGAACCTCATCCTGCTCCCAGAATTTACCATCCTTTGGGGTGTAGTCCTCTGGACCTTTCTCTCTGCATTACATCAAAGACTTTCTTGTTGTTGTTGGTTTTCATATACAAATGGGGGTATACTTATACTCTGACTTGTGGTTTTTACCTATCAGTATTTCCTTAATAATAAGTATTTTTAGTATTTGCAGATTGGTGATACTATAAATATAACAGGAATATTCCTCTATAGATATTTGTGCACTAGCTTAATGATTTTTCATAGAACAGATTTTCAGATAAAGAGTCACTGGTTATTAAGTTAAATGCTGAGTAGGACTGTCCACCACAAAAAATATCAATTTAAATTTCTGCCAATTGTGGGTCATAGTCTGTTTCCCTACATCATGGCCAATGCTACATTATCAATCTTTAAAATTTCTACCTAATGGTCAAAAAAAGCATCTTCTTTAATCTGCCTTTTTAATAACTAGTGAGGTTCATCACCTTTTCATGTATATTAACCATTGATATTTACTTTCTTTTTATCTCCCTATTTCATCTTTCTACTGTTGTTTTATTCTTACTGAGCTGTGGAAGGTCTTTATACATGTTACAGACTTCTTTTTCAGGTGTAGAATTGGTTTTTATCTTACCTAACAGTATTTATTCACTCATTACTATGCAGAGAGGTTCAAAGATATCTGCAAACTTTTAAAAGTTATAATGAATATGCTTTCATTAAAAATATTTTTACAGTGAATGCTTTCATTTTAAAACATTAAGAAGACATACTCCTCTCGTCTATTTCAAGTCTGCTCTTTTCCTCATGTGCAAAAAAAAAAAAAAATTCATACTTTAGAAAGCAATAAAACAGGTGCAGGCTTCCAGATTTCTTAATCCTGCATTTATTTACATATAGGAACAGATATACTTTTACTAGTGACTTTTTTCCTCCTCCGCTTTTAATTTTGAAAAAGTTCAAACTACAGAGAAGTTGAAAGAATGCTACAAGGATTACCCATATATCTACATTTTGCATTTGTTTGATCTCTTTGAACATTTCAATGTAAGAGTCAGACATAATATTGAACCCTAAATATTTCAACATCTATCTTCTAAGAATATACTGTTATTACTATATAATCACAATGATTCACATTTAAGAAATTTAATGGACATAATCATACAAAGTCCATTATTATAATTTCTTTGATTGTCCTAATTATGAACTTTATAGCTTAAAAAATCACCTCCAAGATTAGACCAAGGTACATACACTGCATTTAGTTATCAAGACTCTTTTAAAGTTTCTCTTAATCTAGAATATTCCTTCTGTCCCTCTACCCTACTCCAGCTGTCAAATTTTAGTCTTAAGAATCTAAGCCAGTGGTCTTACACAATGTTCCATGATGTGGATTTGATTGCTTCCTCATCATTAAATTTTTGACAAGACCACCACACAGGTGATGCTCTGTTTATATATTTTAATCCCACATCTACTGCTTATATATAGCCAATATTTTCTTTCAATTCGTTTTAACTTTTGTTTGAAAAATGATTAAAAATCTTTTTCTTCACTGCTTTTAGTTCTGTGCCCTTTTCTATCCTAAAATTGGATAAATATAAACATGGACTTGTCTCTATACTGCTTTGTTATTATAATTCTTTCTTTAATCTTAACAGTTTAAACTAGAAAAGATGAGGAACACCGCCCATTTCCTTGGCAATCAATCTGGCTTCCTCACAGCCCACTAGGCTCTAATATCTAAACATTTCAAATGCATTATTTATCACTTCATATAATTAAAAACCCAAACTACCTATGTAAGTACCAATACCAAACACAAAAAGATACTTAACATATGTATTAGATGACAAATTCAGTTATTTTATCAATTCTCTAGTTTGGCTTCTAATTAAAGTTAGGAAAAAACAAAAAAATTTATACATTTTACTTCCTTATAATAGTCAACTAAGTGAAATCTAGCCAAGTCTCTCAAAGTGGCTAAGTGAACAGTTAACTATATCTGAAGATGATAATTTAGCTATATTAACCTCTTTTTCCCCCCTCCTTTGAGTACAGCAATACTAATCAGAGGCAATTACTTTGCAAAACATTCTAGTGAAACTAAACTGTAGCTCTGTCAGGTATGTGGGCATTCTAGTCTATTTGACTAGAATATAAAAAAACAGTCCTTCACCTCAATGTGAGGACTAGATCTAGTCATTTATAATACTGAGCAAAAAGGTTGGTGCCTTTTAGGTACAATCCAGATACAATTAAAAAAATGATGCAATGTATTATTTAAGGAAACCTAAGTGGCAAACTCTAAAGAAAAGCAAGGCAATGATTAACATAAATTCAGGACAGCAATAGGGTATGGGTACAGCTGATAAAGAAAGGCAGGTGATGCTGTCTTATTATAGCACTTCCCACATTCATGTAAACCAAAACTGTGTTCTTCTCTATCCCTGGTTTGATTAAAGGGCTAAAACTGTGAGAATAAAGAAAAGCTTCTCTGCATAATGATAATTTTTGAAGTTGAACTTATAACTGGCCTCATCCAACCAAACTTCAAACTAGCGATTTTCTTACTAAAAGGAAAAAACAAAACAATAATAAAACACCAAATCCTAGTAAATTTAGTCAAAGTATTTGGTGAAGTAATACCTGATATTAAAATGTACACATGCAATATGTATATTATTGTTTTTAAGAGCCAGCCATTGTTGGGGGAAAAAAAACATAAAGTGATAATTGCCAAAAAGAAAAAAAAGGGGGCGTTTCTGAATTACACAGTATCACTAGGTAGTTTATAAATAGTAGAAGAACTTAATTTTTTTTCAGTGTCTTCCTTACCTTTCCTCAATATGGGAAACCACTTAATTCCGCCCCCCCTCAAAATACACAATTTAGAAATAAATTCCTTTCCAAGAGATAATGCAAAACGGAAAATTATTTTCCTTTCAAACAGTGTATCACTGGCATACAAAAGCAGGACAGCATGCAAAAGAAGATTTATAGCAAGATTCTACACTTATAGCAAGATTCTACAAGAAAAGAGCTTTTCGAGGCTTCTTTCAAGAACAAGAAGGTGACCATAGTAACCTTAGTAATCACTGTTGGAAAAATCACTCAATCAGAGGCTGAGATGGAAAGAACTACAGATGCTGGTCCTAATTTTTCAATACTTTACAAATCAGGAAATGACACTCCAAGGCAAGTTTTCAACCATTTTTCTGAACAAAAAACCCCAGGTTTGGGAGGGCTTGGACATGAAGATAAGATAACGGCAGGGTGCAGTTTTGACATTTGCAAAGGAAAAACAGTATTCAAAAAAGGAACTTCAAAATATGGAAGTTATTCCAAGACCTTTCTTGGGATGGTATTACTAAACAAAAATAATTCCATTACATTACTCATACAAAGAAAGTCTAAGAACTTCTGGGTTAGAAAGTGGGAAAAAACCCCCAAACCCTCGCATCCCATTAGGACTACTTTTCTTACAACCATATAGAGGCTGTGAAACTATGCTAAGGACTTGGAACAGGAATACTTACATGTTTTCTTTCTGTAGCCTTTAGAGATTTGGCAGCATAGTAGAAAAGCTGCGTCCCACACAAAGCCGCCCAGTATTTCGTCCAAGATGCTACCTAGAGAGGACAGACACATGAAGGTACTACTCAAATGCTACCGGCTTCTCACTCTGTTCCTCATTGCCAAAGATCCTTAGCTCTACTTCACTTCCACCACCTTGGCTTTGAGTTTCATCACTTTTGAAATCTTTATCTCAAATATTCTTACCACGTCTACTTGATACATTCTACTTAGGACTGACAAAACAAAATTGGCTGAATTCTGTTTTTTAGAGTTTTTTGCCCTCTATTTTCTATTCCTTCTAAAAATACTCCTTAACAGGATATACTTTCAAGATTCTCCAAGAACTATATTAGGGAGCAAAGAGAAGTACAGGAGCATCTTGATTTAGACAACTTAAGTGTATAATTTAACCAAAATCTATTAATATGTGGCAGGTATAATAACACTTTAAATAACATTGTGAGGCAAAGGTATATTTTAAATTATTTCAAACGTATTATATATCTGGTTTTATTTCAATTGTCTTCATATTTTTTTAGGGTCTTATTCATTTGCTTATTTTTAGACATGTTTTAAACTATAGAATAATTCTTACTGTAGGCTTCTTGCCTTCTTTTAACAAAGTTTTTCTCCTGAGAACACCTTGAATAGTAACAGCCCCTGGATATAGATGTACTGCCAAATCCTCTGATTCTGCAGAACTATAAAAATGAAAAGAAAAGAACATATAAGCACTTGAGTAATTATCAAGCAGGTATTTTAAATAAAATGTAATTATTTTCAATTTTAAGACTGTTACTTTATTCAGAATGAGAAGACACTGACAATTATAAAGGTTTACTGATCTGAAATTTACAAGCTGTCACAAAATGAATCAGGCAGTTATTAAAGTCAGCAGATGGTTAAAAAAACGCATTTTACTGCATATCTGAACAAGCATAATTCAGAAAGAATACAGCGATTCACTTTAGTATAGAGTAAATTAGGGATTCAAGACTTTTCTTCTCAACATGCCATACTGCAGCACTGAAACCTTTTTTTTCCCCAGAAGAAACTCAAGTCCTGGCAGGAAAGGTGAGGATTCTATACGTTAAAAGTCTTTTTAAGCATATAAAACTCAAAATAAAAATATCAGAAAGTCAAAAAAGGAAAAAAAGTGAAAGAAAACCCATGCTCAATTCTAAAGTAGGTGAGAAAAGTAAAAAAGGCAATTAACAACATATTAAAAAAATCAAACTTTCTGCAATAAAATTTAATGACATTTTAATGTCATCAGTGCATTTTAAGTGATTATAGCCTAACAACTCTGCAAGAAAGGAATAACTAAAACTCAAGATTGCTTTTTATTGTATCTTAAGAAAACCATCACAATAATCAAACACTTAAATATCTTTCCCCAACTCATTTAAGGTCCTATAGTTAAGATAAGAACAATTTTTATGAGTCAAAACATATACACTGATGAAAAAAAAAATCTCTCATTCTCCAGTGATTTGACGTGAGCTGCAGAATTCCTACAACAGTGATGAAAACTGAAGTTTGCCAGTTTATCTCTTTTTGATTGTTTAGGTGTTCTCAATGACTTAAAAACCTAGAAACCACTAGAAATTTCATGCTGGAGCTATTTATATCCAAGGAGATTAGACACAATTAAAAACTGACATAAAATCAACTTTTAAATGTTTGCTATTGCATTGTCTTATGAGAATTGGTTGATTATTCACTACCATTAACCTCCAGTCCCCAATCAATCTACCACCTTTATTTTCTTCAGCAACTAAGGTAGTGCAGAAGGAGATCAGGATTAACTAGGTAAACAACCGAATGAACATGAGTTAAATACACAAGTATTATTTCATAAAACAGACTTGTTTAAATTCAGACCTACAGTTAATCTGAAAAATCCTTAAGACAAACTGCATGTAGTCAATTCTCTGACTGCAGTCTTTGAAAAACAAGTGGGTGTTTGCGCTGCTCCTCTAACAATCAGCAACGTTAGAAAGACCTGTGCAGTTGAAAAGCTACTGATTTGGATTATCTAAAGAATGTGACATAAAGATGCAAGTTTTAGCAATTAGCTCTGTGGATCAGAAAGAATACTTCAAATTTATCTCTAGATTAAACCTTGGAAAGAAAGTTTTCACGGGCATTTTATTTAGCTTTGAAACCAATTAGCTGAGAAAGAACAGAAGTAATGTGAGACCACAATTATGAAAGCCAGTCACCACCACCAGAGGGGAGTTCTGTGACCCCTGAATGCAGGGGGATTGTACCTGCTGGCCTTCATGTGGCTTCGATAGCCATTTCGTGCCACTCTTGTCACCGGGCCGAGAGAATGGTATAATCTGTTCCTGTTGGATTCCATTATAAATTGCATATATTACTTTTATTCACAAAATCATCATCAATAACCTAGAACAGTATAATAATTTCGTGTAATACAGCTTTCATAATAATTTCTTTGTGTAATACAGCTTTGATAACAATTTTTTCGTGTAACACAGCTTTCTAAATCCTACAAAAGGATAGTATATGATTGCTCCTTTTTTTTTTTTAAAAAAGCATGCAGCACAGATTTTAAATTATTATTTTCTTCTACCACTGACTATAAATATTTAAGGTTGCTTCTTAGTTTAAACCATGTATTTATATACACATTCATTTTCACAAATTTACTAAAATAATTAAAGAAGTATTTATATCCAAACAAAGCCTGAAATCCTTTTGTTTATATTCCAGTTCTTGGATTCCACTTTACATATGGTACCTGGATTTATAGAATAATAATTTTTTATTATACGCCCCTATGAAGATGCCTAGAAGCAATGTGATCTAAAAACGTAAAATTAATGTGATCTAAACACCTTATTTTCCTTTCTCTTATATATTAAATCTAAAAAAAAAACTACTAAAATAGATAAACTGAGTAAAAATATAGGCTTTATTTTATTTTCACATCAACTACAAGAAATACACGATAAAGCCAGTAAATGATTTTAAAAAAATGGTATGAGTTAACTTTCATCCAAAATGGAATGTGATACTTAACAAAGGAAATAAACACACACACAGAAACACTGATACTTCTTTGCCTAGAAAAAGCCAAAAGCAGCACTGTTGATAAATGATATTTAAAACCAAAAGTTTTATTTTAGCAACTTAAGTGGCAAAATATTTGATGTCTATTTTCAAAGTTCATTGTCCACAAGTATAACAGTATTTTAAATCCCAATTCTTTATTCACTTTTTAATATTTCACATTTGAATCTTGCTGGGCAGCACTGATTTGATTTCAAAGTGTTCAAAAGAGCCACTGATTTAAACTTGGCAAAAGCACAGTAGATATTTTTGGCTGCAAATGTCTGCAAAGCAAAGCATTTGTCAAAAGAAAAATACTATTTTGAGATGTGACGGTAACACTGTTAAATACCATCGTCCTTAAATAACCTGGTGGGATAAGAACAGATTATTTAACACAACACCATTCTGGTTACTTGATTACTTCTCACGCCACATGATAAACAATTTTGTTCATCAATATTTTTTATCTAAATACAATACACTATAATCAACTTCTGATGATACTATGTTCTTACTAGAGGGGGAGAACTAACAAAACAATTTGTACAGACAGCATGCCAGAGGCAACTCTTGCGATCTTCCTGTTTCAGGCAAACCCAAATAAAGAGACTGACATAAAAACTTGGAAGAGAAATAATATGTAAAAACAAATTGTTAAAAGTTCCCCAAAACAAAGAGAATAAAACTTAAGAACACTGGTAGTTAGAAGTGTTCAAAAGTATTTTGAAATACTGGATATGCAATTAAAGTCTTAATCACCATGGTAAGAAATTTTCACGGAGCTTCAAGAACAAGGACCTACTTTTCCAATAACACCATGAAATTAACCAACTGAAATATGTATAGTTCAATTTCAGATGTATAGCGAGTATAACTGCTTCTATTAAAAAGTGACTGGTAGGGAGTTAGGTAACTAAATATTTTCAACTTCATCAATTTTAATATGACATTCAAAATTCACCCTAGTTGGATTGCTCAGAAACTTATTGCTTAGTGTATACACAAAAGGAGCAATTATTCTACTCAAGGTTCAAATATTTTAGTATGATAATGGCAGAACTAAAATGATCAAAGACAGCAAAATTCGAATGGATATTTATTAAATAACAATTATTTGCTCTGCTTGCCTACATTTTCAGAAAAATCTTATACTGAAAGATCAACACAGCATATTTGCTGCAAGCAGATGACAGCTTTTATAGATTAAAGCGTCAAGGGAAAGAGAACAGAATGTGACTTATATTATTTATTTAAGTATGTGTCTGTGTGCTTTCTGGAACCTTTGAATTAATGACAATTTAAATTCAAACTTTTATCTACTTATTTAGAGTATAATTTAAAATGTATAAATTAGCAGAGAATGAAATTGATCATTTCACTAAATACCTTAAAATTACTTAAATAAACCAGAATTTAAGGAAAAGATTTTACTTTTGTACATGTAAGTAGGTAAGCTGACTATGATTGGTTGTTATTTTTTAAGTTATCTTTTCATATTTTATTTATTAAAAAAAATTTATTTTTGGCTCTGCTGGGTCTTTGTTGTGGACAGCGGGGGCTACCTCTCCAGGTGCGGTACGCAGGCTTCATTGTCGTGGCTTCTCCGGCCGTGGAGCACCAGACTCGAGAGTGCGTGGGCTTCGGTAGTTGTGGCCACCGGACTCCAGAGCACAGGCTCAGCAGTTGTAATGCAGGGGCTTAGTTGCTCTGAGGCATGTGGGATCCTTCCAGATCAGAGATCTAACCTGTGTCTCCTGCATTGGCAGGCAGATTCCTTACCACTGATCCACCAGGGAAGCCCTGATTATTATTACTTTTCAGTTACAATTTAAAATGTACTAAAAATCAAATATATGTGTCAAGTCACCAAATAAAATGTCTTTACTAGATAAAACTGAATTCCAGGCTTAAGTATTAACTTTCAATTTCTGCCACCAGCAGGAAGCCTAAAGAGTCCTTTTAATATGTAATAAATATTATGTCTTAAAATTCACATTATCATATACTTTGTTGTTGTTGTTTAGTCCCCAAGTCAAGTCCGACTCTTTTGAGAGCCCGTTGACTGAGCTCTTGCCTGAGAGCCCAGGCAAGGATACTGGAGTAGGTTGCCATTTCCCTTTCCAGGGGATTTTCCCAACCTGTGGATTGAACCCACATCTCTTGCATTGGCAGGTGGATTCTTTACCACTGAACCACTTGGGAAACATCATATACTTAAAAATAAACAAATAAACTCAAAGCAGTTTAAATGGACAATTTTTCTTACCTTTCAAAAGCAGGCCATGAAGTCTCTTCACTTAGTTCAGAACCATCACTGCTACCTAAAATCAAAAGTTATCTTATTTTTTTAAACATCATAATTATAGTTTAGATTTTACTTTTTAAAAGTAAATACTCTAGCTGTGCTTATTCACATTATTTGTGGGTGAACATCTACATATCAATTCTTCATTCTAATATCATTATGCTTGATTTATTTTGCAATATATTACAATAGAGTTGACAAGTTTACACAAAGAAACAAAACAGTGTAAAACATTTTTATATGTATACTTATGGCTTAAATTGATTACATTAGTAAACACTTTTTCTACCATCAGAGAATAAGTACACAATTTTTCCTTATTAGGTTTGTCATAATTTAAGACCAATATAATTACAAATTTCTTAGAGGTTCACTGTATACTTCCTTTTGCATTTTTAAAAAAATACCCATTACTATCCTAAGGATAAAAAACTCAATGAAATTCAACTTTTGTCTTTATAGGCAAGGCAGAAGAGGATGGAATTCTTAAGGAAATAAAAAGGTACCATAACAATGTAAAAACTTTCTCTTAGACCCAGAATATCAGTCAAAATAGAAAAGTTTTAAATTAGCTTAAATGGAGGAGAAAGAGCTTGGAGAGTCCAAAACAGCTTAGTTTGATTTAAAATTTATTTTAAAGATAATTAATCAATAATTTGTCCTTTTTTGTATCACATTGAGTCATCTATCAGACTTTCACAACCAGGGTTCTTTGAGAGGCTCAAACTCGAATACTATAAAGAACCCATTATGTGTGACGGATTTAACACCTCTTCCATGCATGCAGAATGGTACAAGTTATGTATCATCCTTGGAAGTACTAACAATTACTGAAATAATTTTCTGGTTGTGTGGCTCAGATAAGAAACTGGATGTAATCTGCTGTTGGTAGTGGAGGCCTGTATGTTATTTTTGACGTGTAGAATATTATGTGATAAAGACTGAAAATTTAAGCATAATTAGTATGACGTTTGTAGAAAACAAGTTTCTTCCAGAAGCATGGACCTCGAGTAGATATGCCTCCTTCAGCTGGGCAAGACTATCTGGGTTATTCAGGACATATATGCCATGTTAGAAAATGTTAGAGGTTACAGTCCTAAGCACTGGTTAATTTTTCCAGGGTACTTTCTCAGAGCCTCCAAGACATAAATTGATATTGTATGTAAAAGTTACAGCTAAGGAAAAAATCTTTTTGTTATTATGAATTGCGTGTGTATATTAATAACTACCAGCTATGGTTATAAACTTTCTTTTCAGAATGTTAAAGGTTTAAAGGAAACACCCTGGAAAGTAATGCCTATGTCTAATGTTCTTAATTTATAAACAAGGATATAACAATCCTTACTGTTTACCTACTTAGCCTTGGACTAATTAAACAATAAATACAAAGGCAAAAATTGAATTAGCCCCTTCTTGTTCTAATAGACAGTTCTCTAAAATAAGACACTAACTGTAATGGAATGAAATAATTAGATAACTATCTTGTGGTAACCAAAAGAACATCTATGGAAAGTAAAAGTCACAAACAGAGAATCATCACCATTATAATATTTACGATAAGTATTACAGAAAAGGCAAATATTTTATACTAAATTGAGAGCTATCAGTTTTAAAATTACTTTTTTTTTTGCTTAAAATAACATGCTAGATTCCAGAACTGTAACACATTTTTTTAACTAGAAAAACCTTCTTCCTCTCTCTTTTGCAAAATTATTCTGTGTACTACTTTTCAGATTGAAGTTAATATTTGCATATAGGCAATTTACAGTATTAATGAAGATATATTTCAGGTGACCAACTTGTCTTCTGTTTTGTAAATCTTGCATCATTTGCATTTATAAAAAGGGAAATACTGGAATAAAACTGCTGAATGGAGCTTTCCAGCTCCAAAGCAATTTCAGGGTTCGAAAACTCTCAAGTGTTAAAAGAAGTCAATATGTTCAAGAAAATGAACTACTACATTTCTTCCTACTGATTGTTCATCAATATTGAGATGACTGTGTTAATATAGTCATCTGTAATAGATTAAGCCCTTGAGCAACCTTGGCGGTTAATCAGAGAAGACATTTTCCTCCTTTATTTCTTTTAAAACATAAAAATAGCATCATATAGGGATTTCCTAACTATCCAAAGAAATTATGCTCAGCTAGAAGGTTCAGAAAATAAATAACAGTTTAGGAAGTAAAAACAAACAAATTCTTCTTAACTTCACGTCCTTTTCCAGTCCCGGTTTTCTTCATAATAGCTATCTCTATTTTCTTACCTCTCATTCTCTAATCTACTTCAGCCAGGGCTTTGCCCACACTATTCTATAAAGCAAATCTAGTCAAGGTCACCAAGTGACTTTTATCTTGCCAAATGCAGTGATCAACTCCTGTTCTCATCTTATTTTTTCTTTTGTGCACTTGATACGGATACATTCAATACATCCCTCCCTTCAGAGATCCTCCCTCTACTGGGCTTTTGTGATACCACACTGCTTTTCTCCCTGCTTCAGTGGTCCCTCACTTGTAGTTTCCTCTGATGGTTGACCATTTAAAAAAAATGACACCTCCAAATGTTAGCATGTCTACTCTTATTTATTTATATCCTCTCCCTCTGTGACCTTATCTGGTCTCATGGCTTAAAATCCTACAAATATGCTAATTCTTATACCTGTATCTATAGATGTGACTTTACCTCCTTAAGCTTCAGATTCATACAGTCGATTACCTACCTGACAAGTCAATATGGTAGAAACATGTCCAAAATGGAAATTTTAATTCCCCAAACCTAGTCACCCTTTACAAATACCTTAATACCTACAAATGGCTGCTCTTCTAATGTTCTGTGCCTAGGTAACAGCACCACCATCTAACTAGCTGCTTAATCTAAGAAAAAACTGGGAATCATAACTCATCTGCCCCTTTCCTCATTCCTACATTCCAACTACATGCAGTAACCAATTCAAACAGTGCCTGTTCTCTTCCCCACCATTCCTCGAATGCCTCCCCTTTTGAAGTCAAAAAACATCAAGCACTTTTCAAACCATCATGAATTATTAATTTTAGCAGCTACTAGTAATGTGATCTTATATCCACACTTTGCTACTTAGCTTTTATCAATTATTTTTTCTACTTGTAGTAGGGTTAATCATGCTTTTCCAGCTGAGTTTTCTTAGAAGTCTGATTTTACACAAGTTGGAACCCTCTCAGAGAATTATTTCTCACCTATTGATATTCCACTAGAAAGAGTAGAGCTTTCAGCTTGGCCTCGAGATGGTGCATGGGGCTCCATGACGCTATCATCTAATAGATGTCTTGGCCCTGCATTTGGGAACGTTGCACTCTTAAACTCTGCTGTGTTCATTTTATGAATGAAACTGGAAACAAAGAGAAATATTTTTCATATCTTTACATTACTATTACTGATTCAGGATATAAAATATACTCTTACATAAAGATTCAGGATATAAAAGATGTACCTGCTATCCTGAACTTACTTCTGAACTCTCATACTAATGAACACACAGATTTTACCATGAAAGCCTCAAGCCAACAGATTAGGGAAAATTTTTTTAGACAACCAGGCCATATCTACCTATATAACAGAAAATACTTTATCTTGATGCTTGGGTTCATTAAAAACTATTTTCACATTCACTTTTGGAAAATGTCTATTAAATTTTCACAAAAATCATGGCAAAGGTGAACCGTGGGGTCCATTTTGAGGAAACAATCTTATAAAGCTAAACAAAAAGACAATTTCCCTTTCTTTGTATTTTGTTATAAAAAGAACAGTTTTTATATGCTTTATGGTGACCTGTTTTGGTTAGGACAAGCAATGCCTCATGATACAAGTTATAATTTAAAACGGAAATAGTGTTTGCTTTCCGGATTTTATTTATGATGATGATCTGTAATGTTTTTATCCCCCAAAATGTGAAAGCACTATTGGAAAAAGCTCATTTCCAAATTAAGGTAAGGAAGAAATAAATGCCTTTATGCAAACAAGATATTTTACTAAATCAGAAAAAGACTATTGTGTGTTACATATATAAAACTATGCAAGGACACCATTTTCTGTCCAACTAGTGAAATAAGTAGAAAAGAAATCCAACGAAATACATAGAACTTTGCAAGAGAAAATGAGAAGCGCTGACTTGTAACCCAGGCTGTGGCACTTTCTATGTCCGTGCTGAATCAGGTTCCGAGGGGATGGCGGTGTCTGCGGCAGCAAGGCCCCTTCAGCTGCCATGCTTTTTCTTCCGCTTTGTGGAGATGCTCCTACTTCAGGACCTTAATGGTTAAATGAAAAAAGAGAGAGACAGAGATACAGAGAGAGAGAGAGAGAGAGAGAGAAACTGTTAAATGGTTTAGAAAGATTGCTCTATTTGAAATCCTCTGATATGAAATAAAGATTGTGGTTTAATTTAAGGCAATATTAATTCCATTTAATTGACCGAACATAAGAAATATTAGTTTCTGAGTCGTAAAACACAAAACCTCAAAACAAACAATATCTATTAATTTCTATCTATTTTACTTGCCCTAAGTAGTCAGTATAAATATTTTCCCTATTTATAGAGGAAGCAGCGTAATTAGAAGAGATGGTATAAGGGTGTCATATCACACATGAAACCTGGACTAAACCCTCAGGTCTTCTGAATCCTAGTTCAGTTCTCATTTAATTTTACACATTACTTCTTCACTCTTAGTTTCAGCTTCTTGATAGACACAGAATGTGTAGAGTAGGTCAAGGATTCAAGTACACAGATTTGCAAAATAACACTTTAAAACATTTTTTATTGGTGTACAATTGCTTTACAAGCAAAATATCACTTTAAGAATGAAAAGAAAAGCAAATTTAAATAGATATTGCCTGAAATGATTTCCTCTGCTTGGAACACTCTCCCCTGTAGATACTGCCATGGTTTTGTTCCTCATTTTCTTCATACCTTATTAGATGGGCCTCCAAATATTTTTAGGATATACAATAATACAAAGCTTAGTGCCAAGATCTGTATTTGGGTATTGTCTATGATTTCTTTAAAAAATTCTCTTCAATTTTATGTTTTTAGATTATTTATATACATATAAATCCCAATTGCAACACAACAGATAAATTAAGAGACTATGACCATTCTTTTTAGTACTTGGTCCAGCATTAGAGTGAAATTAAAAAAAAAAATTAAGTCACTAAAATTGACTCCTATAATTATTCAAATTAGTAAATTTTTCACTTAGACCACAAACATTTCTAACATATTAACCCTCACTGCCTCATACAGTGTATGCTTAATGAAAAAAGAGCTGATAATTCATAAACACTTACTTATTATTTTCTGTTGGCTGTATCTATTACTCTTGATTACTTGGCATATTAATTTGCATATTACTGACAAACCACACGTGACAACTTTTTAATGAAAAAACAGAAAAACCAAACAGAAAAAGATATATTTTAATACCAAAAATAAAACTGTGCAGGCAGAATAAAATGTGCTAAGCACTTACTCACTCTGGAGTATATCCCTTCTTTCTTATTAGGTTATCTGGTTTATTACTCAGTAACAAGAGAAAGCTGCACTAACCTACTAAATCCTCCCTGGAAGCAGCAGAACGTGGTGTGCTTGTCCCTGGTTCTATCTTTAATGAAAGCCTGAATTTCAAAAAGGAAAAAAACACATAAAATGATTAATATTTGACAAAATAACATTAAAATCATGTATTTTTCTACCAAAAGCCTAAAAACATTTTTTATAAAATAACCTCAACTGTGTATTTTTCTTCAAGGGTGATCTTAATTAAGTCCCCTTTCTCTTTCATACAAAGCTGATCTTACAGTGATTCCAGGAAATATTAGAGAGGGAAAAACATCAAAACCTCATATTCAAAAACAGAGATAGCTCTCCCAAGAACCTCAAAACTGCCAAACAACTCAACACGTTTAAAGCTATTTGGTGAATGACTAAAAGGTGATTTAACCTGAGGTTATATTGATACAAGGCAAGTAAGTTCAGTAACTTTCCCACATTTCATTAAATTATGCAAATTCTTTCTAGAATCCTTATTGGATGGGCTAATGGTCTCTGTAGCACTGAAAATTAAAAAAAAAAAAAAAAACACAACACCTTATTTAAAACTAACCATCCAAAAAACCAACCAACTCAAATTATCAAAATAAATATCCATCTATACAAATAAAAAGGCTGTTTACAAAATCCCTGATAAGTCCCTTTTCTAAGTCAGAGTTTATTAGTTGGAAATTAAAGTGGTTCAGTGGTAAAGAATCTGCCTGCCAATGCAGGAGACACAAAAGGCCTGGGTTCAATCCCAGGATCAGGAAGATCCTTTGGAGAAGGAAATGGCAACCCACTCCAGTATTCTTGCCTGGAAAATTCCATGGACAAAGAAGCCTGGCAGGCTATAGTCTATGGGGTCACAAAGAGTCAGATGTGACTGAGCGCGCGCGCACACACACACACACACACACACACAAGTTCCATTTAGGGAAATGTATCAATTTTGAGTTCTGCAGCAAAAAGAGGTTATAATTCCTATCAGTAGAAACAGTTTCAGGAAATAGGATACTAAAGCAGTTGTAGAAAATATTTTGGTGTAGTCCAGGAAATATACTTTGGTGTACTCTGTATTATTATTAAGCATTTGTCTGGAAATTAATAAAGACTTTATTTTTCAGCATCCTACCAACACGAATTTTTTATGAAACTGCATAATACAAATGATATTATAACGATAAATCTATTATAGGTGCTTAACTTTTTATCAATGTCTTTGATATCCTAAAGAAGAAATCATATATAATTGTACACTAATTACTTAACCATGTAAAGTACATGTACTGAACAGATGTATGATTAACCAGAACTCTGCTCTTTTTCTTATTACAGGGTAGCTGACTTTAATTATGTGAGCTTCAGACTATGATATATTCCTTCAGTGAACACCTGCTTTGTGTCAGGCACTGTTCTCTCAGCACTGGAATATAATGGAGACTAAAGCAGACAGGGAGGGTGTCTCTCCCCTTTGGAAGCTCACAGTCTAGAAGGTGGAAGACAAAGAAGTAAACAAATTAAGCAGAGTTTCCTAACACAGAACCAAAACAGAAAGGAACAGAAACGAGGCTATGGGAGAATCACATTGCTATTAATAATGGCTGATAACTGACAGCAATATAAAAAGTGGAAGCATCTTAAACTGCACAGGTCAGTGTCAGTTGCCTATATCATCATCAAAACACTATATATAACAGTGATGCTGATTCACTGAGAAAAGATATGCTGCTGCTGCTGCTAAGTCGCTTCAGTTGTGTCTGACTCTGTGCGACCCCATAGATGGCAGCCCACCAGGCTCCTCTGTCCTTGGGATTCTCCAGGCAAGAATACTGGAGTGGGTTGCCATTTCCTTCTCCAAAAGATATTATGCTCAGTATTAAAATGAAATAACTTCGAAAGATTTTCACCCTGATTAAAACATACGCATGTAACTTGTAATATTGATACTGGCTGCCTATGTAGATGAAGCTGCCAAACACAGAGGCTTATGTATAAATGAAAAGTCATTTTTCTTTAAATCTTTCATCATAAAATCCATTTTTCCCAACTTATGACCTTAATAGCTCTTATGTTAAAATGCTCTGATTTTCAACACATTTAATCAGTAGGTTCATGCAACACAACTGCATCTTTAGGAAAACACTATCTTCTTCAGCTTCCCGTAAGGTTCTCCAATACTACCAAGTGACTTGTAGTTCCCCAAGCAAACATAGCTTCCCACCCTATTCTGAAACACCTTTCTTAACTCTTCAAGTGGAGCAACTCACCTGCTAAGATGCAGACTAAGGTAAGATGGTCACCTGAAGCTGCACATGTTTATTTTCTCTTCATTTTTCCCAGTTAAAGCTGAGGTAGGTCTCCCCCCATCTATGTTCCCACAGCATCCTCGGCACATCTCTAGTATAGTACTCTTTGAACTATTTTGTAATTATTTGTTTCGTAATCCCAGCAGCTATCTAGCATTCATCTACAGCAAAAGCTGAATAAATATTTGTTTACGAATATAATGGGACCTCCCTGTAGCTCAGATGGTAAAGAATCTGCCTGCAATGCAGGAGACCTGGGTTTGACCCTCGGTCAGGAAGATCCCTTGGAGATGGAAATGGCAATCCACTCCAGTATTCTTGCCTGGAGAATTCCATGGACAGAGGAACCTGATGGGCTACAGACCATGGGGTTGCAAAAGTTGGACACGACTAAGTGACTAACACACAATGAGTATAATGGGAAGGCTGCCTGAGTCCTAGTTAACTCATGAAAACAAAAATCAGCATAACAGCATCCACTTTCCTACCAAAATGAAGCTCTCATGCCAGGATACAGACAGCTAAAATTACTTAACAGCTTAGTTAACTCTATCCTTTCAGCATTAAAATTCACCATACTCTCTATTTATACAACAATTTCTGAGACTTCACTTCTACTGAAGGGGCTTCCCTGGTGGCTAGGTTGGGAAAGAATCCGCCTGCAGCACAGGAGACTCCGGTTCGATTCCTGGGTTGGGAAGATCTGCTGGAGAAGGGATAGGCTACCCACTCCAATATGCTTGGGCTTCCCTGGTGGCTCAGCTGGTAAAGAATCCACTTGCAATGCAGAAGGCCTGGGTTCGACCCCTGGGTTGGGAAGATTCCCGTGGAGAATCTTTAGTATTCTGGCCTGGAGAATTCCATGCAATCTATAGTCCACGGGGTTGCAAAGAGTCCGACGTGACTGAGCGACTTTCACTTTCTACTGTAAGAGTTAAACTTTAACTTTTAAAAATCCATTAAGTTTCTTGAGACAGACACAGAAATTTTAATAATGACTTATTCATGTTTTGAGTTCTAAGATAATCTTCTGTACCCAACTGGACAAAATATGAGTGTTTTATGCTATGTCAGTAGAGAGATGAAAGAAATAAGTGATAAATATGACACAGACCATCACACTCAAGAAACTTACAACCTAGGGGATCAGATCTGTGAAACACTGTCAAGATTATTAAAAAGCTGATGTACTGACCTCATACATTTTCAAATGAATTACCCTGTAAAAACTTTCTGTAAAACAAAAATGATACAGAAAGATAAAGTGGTAATGATACAGTATGGTGGAGACAATGGCAATAAAGGTGTTTTCAAATATAAATAAAGCTTCAGATACATTTTAAATATATGTACAGAGCTTCTCAATATATTTGATATTTGAAGAAAAGTTATTTTCAGTTGTTTTCCACAATCTCCAGCCTTTTATTATGTATACCAATTCTGTTCCAGAATTCTTTAAAAAATGTTGAAACTTATGGAACAAAGAAGCTGATAACTACTATCACACAGTGTAAGAAAATTTTTGTGTATAATGCATTAATATTAAAAAATAACCTTATCTTTCACTTTGATAAAAATTTAAAGTATAATCTTTTACTGGAAAAAATATTTGTGGCAGACACAAAGTTAAATTTGAAAGCTTAGAAACAGCAAAAAAAAAATGTTTTTAAATAAATGAAGCAAGGAAAATGAAAAGCCTCAAGAGAAATAACTTTTTTATCCTTCTATCTTAAAACAAACAAACAAACCTGGTAGTCATGATGTAGAGAACACTACTGAAAAATAAATGCGAATGTGTGTGTGCTCAGTCATGTCTGACTCTGTGACTCCATGGACTGCAGCCCACCAGGCTCCTCTGTCTAAGGAAATTTTTAGGCAAGAATACTGGAGTGGGTTGTATTTCCTACTCCAGAAAAATAAAAAGGGTTAATAATGAAAAAAATCCCTTTTCCACTGGGTAGGACTGAGAATGGTTAAGCAAAAAGACATGGATACCAGCTGTTTTAAAAGTAACTTTTGAAAACCTTTAACAAAGGACTTGCTTGAATAGAGGAAAGGACAAGTGTGGTGTTCTATTGGACAAATATTAATATGTCTCTAATTCAGAGTCCAGAAGGTTCAATATTTTCTCAATACACAAAAATAACTGAAGACAAATTCAAAATTGTGTTGAGGAGCAATTTTTCTATTCATGGATTGTTTCATTAATTTTTCAGTCTATTAAAAGATACATTTCCATAAAGATATTCAATGCTTCAATGGAGAGAGAAAGGAAGAAATGTAAAACAAGAACTATCAAACATCAGCTCTCAACAAGTTGAGAAACATACAATGCTTTTTAATAGAAGAACAGATGACGTACTTGTATACTGGCTCAGTCACATCAAGTGATTGATTTAAAAAATTCACGTAAATAGGTAACTTTACCACTGTAAATGCACAACTGTATTTGCATGATAAGATGCAGTATTTAGACGTTTAAATACAGAGATGAAAGGGTGGAGGACAGGACACAATTATACAAACCACTTCTGAAGATCCAACCTACTTGTAATTATCATCTTCCACAAACTTTTGCAGTTCTTCTATATACTGAACAGAGTTCAGGTATTTTTGGACGTGAGGCAACATGGGGATATCTAGGCAAAACATGATAAATAATTGTCTGATAAAGTACATCTCAGGCAGAATTTCTAAAGTTAAGCTGAGAAAAATATATTTAAAGGTAAATTAAGGCAACATAGCACCAAAATTTAAATTAACTCTAGAAGGACATGAATGAGGTAAATGTTATTTAATGTAAAACTGAAGGTAATTTAGAAAACTGCAGTTGCATGCTGTTTGTATAGATTAAAACAACTCCATTTACAAAGTCCCACATATTTGAGAAATTTCATAAAAAAAATTCAGAGCCATCATTGTAACTTATAGTCAAACCTCATCTAAGTGTAAGATCTAAGGCAGTTTAGTTTTTTTTTTTTTTTTTAAAGAAGCCTGGCTCCCATTTGTAGTTTTTTTCTCTCCTACTTAGAAATTTCAAATAAGATTGATTTAACATTACAATTTGATGTTATGTTGAAAAAATTGAGAAAAGGATAAAAAAAGAGATTAAAGTTAAATAACAACAAATTGTAAACTGTTTTTAAACAGCATTAAAATTACATACCTGTAAAAACCTCTCTTTATTTTCTATCAAACTGAAAGCATTTAAACACTTTAAAACAATAACATTTTTTTTTTTCTAATCATTTGGGCTTGCACTAAGTTCTTTCCACATGTGTGTTTCCATAAAATACATCTTGGACAAAAACTGGTTATCTACTCAAGAAAGCTTCTTGAACTCAAGAAAGCTTCTCAACTGTTAGTACAACAGTCTCAGCTCACTCTCTAACTGAAAAATAAAAGAAATATTTACATAATAGATCAGGGAGATCAAATGAGATGAAGAGAATAGAAAATAATTGTGAAAATTACATTAGCAAAGTTGCTACAAAACTGCAGAGGAGCAAAAGATAAAACTTAGCATTTTAAATATGAAATACTTGAACTCCTTAAAAGCAAGATCTTATACAGGATGCTAAACATTGAACAGTGACATAATCATTATTTCCCTTACATTAGGATGATGTACGCTGCTATGTGAAAAGTGGCCATCAACCTGTGTAAATGAATCAACCTTTATAAATGGATCACAGCATTACTCCAGGAAACTCACCATATTCACAGGACTGCTGTAAATCAGAAATTATTCTAAGGATGTTATTCATCAAGTTTGATCTTTGTTCATTTTCTAGAATGCTGCCAGTTGATGGATATGCTGAATCAATGTATGTTAAATCAGACAGATAGATACCTGGAACAAAATTAAGATAAATGAGTGTCTTCCTACTTGTTTGGATGAGTATAGTTTGTTTATAGCTATATTTCAATATATGCCATATTTAAAATATATTCATTATTAATACTGTGTTAAAACATGACCACTAAGGCCTAGATTTCTGTGGAGTCCAGGTCAGACATATAACTTAAAGCTGAAGTTAGAAACTCCAGTACCTACCTACTCATGGGTCTTAATGGAAAGAAGATGAGCTCCTGAACTGGCTCTGCCTCTGTATAAAATAAAGATAATTATTCTAATTTCCGAACCTTGGTTTTTATGTCTATACACTAGTACCTATTTTGCAAGTTGTGGTACAGCCTGAAGAAGTTTCAAGTTAACCAGCCTAACCACTTCCCTGCCATGGGGCAGTTAACTTAATATTAGTTCTATACATGCTTGCCTCGAGTCGGTAACTATCACATGAGTCTTACCCTTTTTTTTCCTTTTAAATATTTATTTATTTGGCTGCACTGGGTATGGGTTGTGGCACACAGGCTCTTCGCTGAGGTGTGTAGACTCCAGAGCACTTGGGCCCAGCTGTCCCCATAACACATGAGATCCCAGCTCCTCTACCAGGGATCGAACCTGCGCTCTCCTCCCTCTCCACGTTGGAAGGTAGTTTCTTAACCTCTAGAGGACCAGAGAAGCCTCGATTCTTAATTACTTTGAAAAATGTCTCGTTCTAGTAGAAACGTCTTGTTTTTATTAAAGATTAACAGTTGGATTTTTGAAATAGTTCTACTAACTACACATTGAAGTTAACCTTGCTCTTTTTCTGTACCAACAAAATTAATACATCCTCCCAAATAATTCAGTTGTCCTAGCTCTGGATTTCAAAGTCACATCTACAGAAAATATTTCCTGAGAGTTTACTATGCACGCGTAAAGTGTAAAAGGCAACATGTTCCTACTTTCAAATCATTACTCCCTGTTCATGAACTCTCAGAATAAGTGCAACCAAAATGATGTAACTATTGCCTTCCAAATAAGCCTGATGTTTTCTCTCATGTCGGTTCTTCCATCTTAAATGATACCTGAACTCAGCTCTGCCCATCTAAATCATTATCTTATATTCAGGTCAGTGTCAACAGTTCTTTAGTTTTCTCACAGATTCCAAGAAAGTAATTTAGAAACTGTCTAGTCAAAATCCCTATTTTCATAGGCAAACACTCTAAGGTCCACAGATATTAAGGAAGTGCCTAACACCACATGAATTGTTAGTGACAGAGCTGGATCTCAGAGTATACACGTGTACGCCAAGGTTTTTTGTTTTTTTACTTACACTGTTACAAACAATTACAGTATCTGTATCATTCACTTAATAATTTTTAAGACTTTCTAATCTCTTTATTGAAAATCTTTTGTATTTTATATCTTATCTGCTTAATATAATAAACTCATTCAGGTGGTTACTCTATCTTGCACTTTAAAAAATGAAAATCCTGACCAATATTTCCAGACAATTTGTGTTTAACACAATGTAAAAAGTTGGCAATGGTAATCCTTTTACTCATTCCAGTATCATTCCTTTTCCATTTAGTAAATCTTAACAGTATTCTTTAAGCCATCTATCATAAATACTTCTTTTTCTTTAGAGACTCTCAACTTTATTTTTTATGACTTCAAATAAATCTGTCGCTGAGCTCCCTTTCTTTCCCTCCTATCTCAGAGGAAGAAGAATCCCCTTCTTTTTCTTCCAAATCTAAACTGCGATTCTGAATATAATCTCTCCTGCCTCCTTTTAACGTATCCATGCTGCCTCCACTATCACTCGCACTCCATGGCTCTTTTCCAAGAGCCAGTGTGCACATTTAAATCTCCTCTATTTAAGAAAACATAAGCAAAGCAACCCTTCCTTTAAATCTGATCCCCTCCTCAAGACAGGACTCTTGCCTGCCTTCTTTAACAAACACCTTAAAAGAGAAATGCAGACCGGTACAATTAATTTTTTTTATCCTTCATTCTATTTTTATGTAATATTTGGTACCTATGAAAGTTTACTTGTGTCAGGAAAAACTGTGATAGACTTTGCAATAGGCAAAAAGATTACCAGGTATATCCTGTTTCCAGTGCATCCTCTTGGCCTGAGCTATTTTATAAGTTGTTGAAAACTGGTAATAATACAAATTCTTGTCCATAAAAATGCCAATGAATTATGTCCAGTGGGATGTAACTGATTATTGCCCTGTGGATGTTGACCAATTTTGCAACTATCTGTAAATTCATTCCAGCATTCCCAAAGGCCTGCATGTATGTGCAGTACTCTGACTTCTCCCTTGAAGTTGTTGTAAATATCTCCCTGATTCCCTTGTATACTTAATGATTTAAACAAAACCTTTGACATGTATTCATTTTTTATTTGTGTGAGAATCATAACTGTATCTTTAAAAATTAACAGTTTAACATATAATATTGGTTGTTATCAAATAATATAATAAATGCTCATCAATGTAAGAGCTACAATATCAGTACTGTTGCCTCATCTTTATGTTCTTTCCCTGTGTCATCTCTCTGCCTCCTGTCTAGAGGGAACTACCATTTCTAATTTTAAGATTATTCCCCTTGTTCTTTTTGAGGTACATGTCTGTATTCCTGCACATTTTATTTTACTTTTGCGCTTTAAAAAAATCATACTTCTATATGTGTGATTAAATGATAATATTGGTAGAGTTACAATGGGTACACAATAAGTGATTTATAAGTGGTTGTTAAATAAGTTTTTAAAAATATGGTCTGTGATTGCTTTGTCTCACTATTTTGTTTCTAAGACTCATTCATATTGTTAAGTACAGCTGTAATTCCTTAAGAGGATAAACTATATGTAACTATATCACAATTTATTCATTTTGTTTTATAAGAGTTTTGAGTAACTTGCCCCCTTCCTCCTTGTTACTATAGACATTCTTGTACATGTCTCCTGGTGCACATGTACAAAAATTTCTCTAGGAGAGATATATTCACATCTATACATACATGCAGGTATATATAATGTTCAACTTTACAAGACAGTACCACATTGGGTTTTAAAGCTATATCAGCTGATACACAAACTGACAGTATATAGGTTTCTGCTGATCCACGCATGCTAACATGTGAAATTCACATCTGTCTTGTTGCTGAAACTTACTCTGGCAAAGGCATACCTGACCTTCTCACACTAATTCTTCAGACATCTCCCCTGGCCTCCTCTCCATTGCTCAGTCTCTCTGCTGTATTTGTACCACTCCCTTTGTTTCTCAGTCTTCACTGGCTTGAATTTGCCTCGCTTCCATCCTCCCTCGATTCTTCCATTTCCTCAGGTCCCTTGGAATTGGCATTCCCCATGGTTCTGTCATTAGTCTTCTCACTCTACAAGTACTTCTGAATTATCCTATTTCTGAGACCTCAACCATCACCTGATTGCTGATGACTCTCCAAATTTCTCTACAGAACACAGCTCCTGACTTTCATTTTCAATTTAACATGCCAAACTAACCATAATTTGTACCTACACACCTGCCATTCCACTTTCCAAACCTGGTCAGTGAGATGAATTACTAACTAGTGAAGAAGAACTAAAGAGCCTCTTAATGAAAGTGAAAGAGGAGAGTGAAAAAGTTGGCTTAAAACTCAACATTCAGAAAACTAAGATCATGGCATCTGGTCCCATCACTTCATGGCAAATGGATGGGGAAACAGTGGAAACAGTGACAGACTTTGTTTTTTTGGGCTCCAAAATCACTGCAGATGGTGACTGCAGCCATGAAATTAAAAGATGCTTGCTCCTTGGAAGAAAAGTTATGACCAACCTAGACAGCATATTAAAAAGCAGAGACATTACTTTGTCAACAAAGGTCCATCTAGTCAGAGCTATGGTTTTTCCAGTAGTCATGTATGGATGTGAGAGTTGGACTATAAAGAAAGCTGAGCACCGAAGAACTGATGCTTTTTAACTGCGGTGTTGGAGAAGACTCTTGAGAGTCCCTTGGACTGCAAGGAGATCCAACCAGTCCATTCTAAAGGAAATCAGTCCTGAATATTCATTGGAAGGATTGATGCTGAAGCTGAAACTCCAATACTTTGGCCACCTGATGCAAAGAGCTGACTCACTGGAAAAGAGTCAGTTTCCTGTTGCTGGGAAAGATTGAAGGTGAGAGGAGAAGGGGACGACAGAGGATGAGATGGTTGGATGGCATCACTGACGCAATGGGCATGAGTTTGAGCAAGCTCTGGGAGTTGGTGATGAACAGGGAGGCCTGGCATGCTGCGGTTCATGGGGTCGCAAAGAGCTGGACACAACTGAGCAACTAAACTGAACAGAACTGAATTAGAAACCTCTATACTGCTTAAACAAAAAAGCTCTGAAGGAGTTTACTATCATATTTCTCCAGGTTAAGCTATTAGTGAATACAATGTGATCACTGAATGATCAAGTAATGTATTACATAATATAAATCAGAGGTTAGAAGCTGTTCCAATCTTTTTAAAATCAGGAAGTAACATAGAAGTATCTTTATGACCTTTTCCTTAAAACAATGGGGAGATCTGGCAACAGCAAGGTACAGCTGGGAAGAGGATAGACAGTAATAATTACAGATGTCAGTCTGTCATAATCTATTTTCCTCTGCTCTCTTACTTCTCATTTACTTCACCTATATACATTACCTGCTTCATTCTTGTTGTGAGCATCTATAGGCCTTTGAGTAGACCCCTGCTATACCTATGCGTGTCACAGGAACTTAAAGAAATAATTAATTCTGTGAAAGAAGTAGAAACTAAGCTGACTTCAAATAAAGGACGTTGATCAACAAACAGAGTTGATGGTAGGGCCTGAGAAAGAAAGTAGCACAAAGTAAGGCAACAACAGGGTTTGGAAAGCACATGGTATTGGTAAAGAGCCCACCTGCCAAAGCAGGAGACGTAAGAGACGCGGGTTCAATCCCTGGGTCGGGAAGATCCCCTGAAGAGGGCATGGCAACCCACTCCAATATTCT